AAAAAGCGCAGGTTCAGTGAACCAAAAAACCACAAAAATAATTCTTACGCATTATTACAAACAAAATAACTTCAAGACATACCTCTAAGCAACTCTTATGGTCTATTTGACGAGTCAACAAAATCACAACATACTATTGAAAATATAGAAGAAAAAAAAGCAGTAAAACCACCACCAATATATATCGACGCGAAGATCATCAATCCTCTGCTCGAGTTACTGGATAAAAAAGTTGAGCAAAATATCTATATAATAAAATATTTTAAAGATAACCAAGTGAAAGTATAAAAAACTACCCTGGATAAATTCAGAAATGTAGTAAATGCACTAAAAACTAAAGACCCATGCATCAAAAAAAAACCAGAAGAGCTAAAAAATCGTAATTCGGAGATTTCATCCCAAATCAAATACAATTAAAATAACAAATAAATTAGACAAACCTGGCAACAAGGTAAGATTATTAATAATAAAAGGAAATTCGATACCCAACAGTTGCTACCTTTTTTTTATAGAACTTGCTCCTCAGGATAATAACAAAATCATATATGAGATAAATACCCTGCTTAATAACATAAAAAAAATCAAACTACCTAGAACTAAGAGAAAAATACCACAATGCACACGATACTAAGCGTATAAACACGCAAAACATTACTTCAACAAAAATCCAGCCTGTGTCAGATGGGCAAAAAAAAGTATAACAACACGCTGTCTTAAGGAGGACAAAATCAAATACGCCATATGTATTTGCCTAAAATTCCTCCCCCGTGGAGTCCTCCGGCGATTGAATTCAGCTAATTGTGAGGAAGGTGAAAGGGTAATTAGAACAAATAAAACACGTGGTTGAGCCAAAAAAATGGTAATGCTTTATTGGCTCGTCAGGGAAAAGCCTTACGGCATAAAAACCCTGTTTGACTGCTACGTTACTCGTTAACACTAAACATACCACAACGGGTCAAATAACCCATTTTGAACTTTTGCATTGAAAATGCACATATAATTTTATTGCGTTTGCACATTTGACTTCATGACTTTTTCTAAGTAATTAATGTACAGTTATAAAAATTTTTTTTTTTTTTCTTTTGTTTATTCTGAGTAATCATTGTTGTATACCGATATCTACCACAACGGGTCATTTGACCCGGAGAGAATTTTTCTGTTTTATGAGATTATCGAGTCATATTTGTAGTCAGTAAGTTGCACATTCTTCCAAAGACTGTTGCGTAAAGTAGTTCAACGAAAATAGATCAGAATAATTTCAAGAAAATATCAAATTTAAGATTGAAAATAGCTTTTTAGTGTAAGAAAAAGTGGCAAAAATTGAAAGTCTTGGTAAGTACCTAGCTTATATTTTAATTTGGTAGCTATAGTAATATAGGTCATTTTTTACCCAGAAAAATGTCGAAGCAAACAAGACAGTACAAGTTCTTAGAAGATATAAATAATATTGGCGAAGAGTTTTCAGAAATTAGTGAAGATGAATTTTCTGAAAATGAAGATATATTGGTGGCAAATAAAAATGAGTTTGATTCTACAGATACTGACGATGAAGAGGAAAATATTGTGAATGTATGTAGTGGCCGAAAAAAAATAAGATTACTCTCAAGTTCGGAAGAAAGTGAAGTAGAAATAAATGAACAAAATGTTGCGAATGATGGATCTGTTTGGCAACAAATGCAAGTAGGTGGCACACCTTGAAGAGCACTATTTCATAACATTTTTAGGCAAGAAGTAGGCTCAACAGGATATGCAAAACGTCATATAATGAAAGGTAAAGTTAGTACTGCATTTTCATTGATAATTGACCACCGTATTATGAACCATATAAGAACATTCACAATAGAAGAAGCAAAGAGAGTGTTAGGTTCCGATTGGAGTTTATCTAAAAAAAAAATTAGATGCATTTATTGCAATTTTATATGCTCGAGCTGCATATGGAGCAAATAATTTGAATATTTCCTTTTTGTGGAATAACATATGGGGGCCTAAATTTTTTTCTGAAACTATGAGCAGAAATAATTTTACCGAAATTCTTAGATTTATTCGTTTTGATAAAAAAAGTCAGCGGAGCCAACGTTTGAAAACAGATAAATTCGCTATGGTATCTGCAATTTGRAATATTTTCATTGAGAACAGCCAAAACTGTTACAAACCGGGTGAAAATATTACTATAGACGAACAGCTATTTCCGACTAAAGTACGATGTAGATTTACGCAATACATGCCTAACAAGCCGGATAAATTTGGAATCAAATTTTGGTTACCATCGGACGTYGATAGCAAATACGTCATAAATGCACTTCCATATCTTGGAAAAGATGAATATAGGCCCTCTTCAGTACTACTCTCTGAATATGTTGTACTCAAACTCATTGAGCCATTTACGGGTTGCGGAAGAACTGTGACCACAGACAACTTCTTCACAAGCAAATCCCTAGCAACACAACTCCTAGCCAAAAAAACTACGTTAGTTGGAACTATTCGGTCAAATAAAAGAGAATTACCACTAATTGCGAAGCAAAAGAAAGATGATATGGAACGATTTTCATCAAAAATTTTTACAACAGATAATTGTACTCTTACAATCTATAAAAGTAAGCCAACAAAAAAAGTACTTTTACTTAGTTCATATTACGATAAAACCAAATTTGGTGAAGACATGACCGATCAAATGGCGAGGAAATTTACTACAAAATCTAAGTCTTGCAGATGGCCTCTCCAAGTTTTTTTCAATATCCTTGATTTAGCTGGCATAAATGCCTGGATTATGTACAAGCAAACGGCAGGAGAAAATATCTCGAGACAAGATTTTTTACTCAAGCTAGCAGAAGAACTTAACGCCGATTTTCGAGAAGCCCGTGAACAACCAAAACAAGGAACAAATACGAAAGGATCGTTGCCTAAGTCTACTACAGATGCTTATAAACGTATGAGATGTTAAATAGGATACTGTAAGGAAAATAAAACCAACAAAATTTGCTCTAAATGTAAAAAGTATGTTTGCGGAAAATGTACAATGGCCAGACTTATATGTAAAAAATGCGATGAACTATGAATTAAAAATTTTTATTTTTTGCTTTTGTAATAGAAATGCTCAACATACTATTTTGTTTAATTATAATAAATTTAATTTATGTTTTTATTTCCTTCCTAACATCCATATTTCATACATTCAAGCATGAAACATAAAGTCGGGTCATTTGACCCGCTATGGTAGAAATAGGTATATATTAAGTCTTGGTATGATTAGTGTTAATTGTTGTTTTAAGTGTTACTTTCGGAGTCGACACCCATTGTTTGTAACTTACTTCATCGATTCCATTATTATTCATTTCTGTTAGTAATAACTGTTTTAYATTTTCAACACCTGGACAATTAGCACATGTATTGAAATAGCACTCAGTCGTTGGTTCTTCACACACAATTGCATTTAAACAGTCATTATAAGTTCCCACCGGCAAATTTGAGCCTTCAGTTAATCGACATAACTTACCACCTRAAATCATGAGTTTTATATTCTGATGAATCGAGCAAACGCAAACTGTCATATTTCAGTACCAAAAAAAAACGTCCATAAGAGTAAAAAAATAACGTCAATGAGAGAAAAAAATAATTTTTTTAAAAAAAATAACAATTTCTTGGACGATAATCACTTGAAATTCTCCAATAAAATTTTATTTTTMAATTTTTGTGRTTTCACGRGGAAATAMAAAAAATTTCATAACAAAGTTATATAAAATCAGCAAAAATACAACAATTTTTTTATAATCAAGAAAAAAAATTAGAAGCGATTGTCGTCACATCTTTTTATTAACGGGGATCATTGCAGAATTAGTTGAAGTATTTTTAGAGCCAAAGAAAAAAAAAGAAACGGTCGGACTTTGAGAAAATTACGGGTTTTTCAAAAAATCTAAAATATTTCATATATCTGGGATTCTGAAAATTTATTCATATTTTTTTTCGAAAACTACATTTAAAAACAAAAATTTTGAAAAAAAAAAGTTTYCAAACGGTCAATTTTTGAAAAAGTTCTGGCAATTTAAAAATAAAAGAGCGGTTTTTTTCAAAAATTCATAACTTTTTTTGAGTCGGGAAAAAAAATTTGAAAAAATTCTGAAAAATAACTTTCGGGGGGTAGAAAAAGATAGAAAATTTTCAGCGAAATCAAAGGGGGTCAGGTAAAAAATTTGTCGATTTGACATGGAATGACCCATAGATACTTCTGAAATATCGAAATAAGGTAGAAAGTAGACTAAGAGACAAAGTTTAATTACATCATCTTCAATAGTTAAATTCTAAGCAAAACAATATGTTACTTACAAGGAAACATCCAGTGAATTTAATTTCAGATTTGTTTTACACTTGTAGTATTGAATATGAAAATTTATTCTACTGAAAACTTAGCCGTTGATAGCCAGCTGTTTGAGAAAAAACGCGGAGTAAAATTTGACATAGATACGTATTTTTTTGATGTAGTAGTGTAGTAGCTGCAATAGCAACGCTGTGTTTGTATTTTGATATCGCCGATATCTACATCTTATCTTGAAACCGCTAAAAAATATGTTTACCTTTCTTTTTCTCTTCRATCTTTTTCTTTCCTTTCTGTTTCTTTACTTTCCTTTTTTTTTTGTTATTGTGAAGTAAGCTTAATAAATTTTCTTTTATTGTTTTAGGAGTATTTCATATAAAAATTTTATAGAAAATATAATTAGAAAAGAAAAATGCATTTGTATTATAGAAAGAGAGTTTGAATTTATTTTTGGCTAACGATATACATTTTATTAAAAAATCATATACAAAAAAAAAACTTAATTTTTAGCGTACCGGAACGATACATTATCAAGGTAATATTTGCCGTATAGGTACACGAAACATAAACATATAACAAATAACAAAATTATCATAATTTTCGTCAAAATTGCGTGAAGAAAGAACAGTTTTTTTAAATATTACTAAGTCTTAGGTTAAACCAAGGACAGTTAAACCACTCTGAAGGTAAACCAAGGAAGACTAGAAGTCCCTGTATACGTGTGAGAAGCATATATTCCTAAAATGCAATATGAGCTCAAAAAACTTTTGTTTCGTGTGCTTATACAACAAGTATCATCCCACAAAATTTTCAGACACGTTCGAACATTAATTGATGTTACTTTTGTTATGTATGTAATTTATGTTTTTTGTTATATGTTTATGTTTCGTGTACCTATACTCAAAATATTACCTTAAAAATTGTACCGTTAGAATATTGCAATTATTATCTAAGCAACGATTAAAGCTATTTTTTACGTTTGAGCTATGGAGTTGTTATAATGTTGTGCTTCAAGACCTAATAAGGATCAAAAATTCATTCGAGGGTTGGCACGAACCATTTACCGGTAAAGTTCGTGTTAATCATGCATCATTGTCCAAGTATATTTGTGTCCTCTAGTTTGATTAGTTTATTACTGAATGTTTTTTAGTGCAAATGAGTACTGGGTTAATGGTTGCTGCTAAGAAGAAAAGGATTTACGTGGACGTTGAGTTACGGCTAAAAAATATTGTAACTGATTATGATCCAGCAAAAAAGTAACAGTTTCTTCATGATATTGCTACTGTATTGTCGTTAAAAATATTATATCTATTAATTTTACAGTTTTTATTGATAATACCGTGATCAAATTACAGTTTCAGTAACTGTTTAATTTATTGTGTTCTTTTGCCAAAAAAAAAATTATTCTTAATCCCATCCAAATTGCCATTAGTTTGAGTAGAGTTCTAGTAGAATTTATCTCCTGTGGAATAGTCGTCGGTTAAACACTCGCAGTTTATCAGTCGCGGTTGAAATGTTACAGAACCAGTTATTGATCGTCTATATTTTCTATATTACTATTTTTATTGCGATCTCGTCTATATATGTTTGCTCATATATATATACCAGCAGTCCCGACCATGCGTTGCTGTGGCTAAGGTATACGTTAATTCATAATATAGTAAACTATTCAATACAGTGAAATGATTATAAACGAATAAAGACGAAAACGTTATAACCGGTATAAAAATCTACGGGATTGAGATTGGAACTTAAAGTCAAAATTTGAAAACGATTGTTAAAAATTTTCGTAAAGGTGATATTAAGCACATATCAATATAAAATGTAGAATTTTAGATTTGATTAATCTTACATTCAAGTTTGTAACAAATGAGTAAGTTGCAAAGTTGTTACTTGATAACATGTAATATTTAATTTTATAAAGAAAGTAGGTAGTGTAAAGCTGTCGGGCTATGGATTTTGTTAATTTTAATTTAATTCAGCATTAATCGGTGCACGATATTCTTGGTGAACCTGTCTCTAGCTAACACAAATAGATTCGATGGTATTCCCACATGTGAGCAGGCAACACATAGTTGCCCATAGGTAAAACATGGATTGTCCGAATCTAAACCGCAAATAGGCATTGTTTGGCCTTGAGACTTTTTTTATAGACATAGCGAAAGCTAAACGAGTAGGAAACTGTAGCCTTCTAAAGGGTATCGTAGATTCTGACGGTATCATTGGAATACGTTGCAGCAAGATCACTTCTCCTTTAAATTTTCCAGTCAAAATTGTTGCTTCAAGAATATTTTCGGTGATCTTTTTGACCTCTTTTTTCCCCCTTGTTACACTTATATCTAACCTTTTACTAATTATACTTCTAATATATTTAATTTTTTGTTACATTTATTTGATTAAAACATAGTGATATAGTAATATATATTACAACAATTGCTTATTATCTTCACTAGCTTCTGTAAATATTATAATAGATAACTTACGGTTTCCTAAATAGGTATTTGACTTTACTGCAAATTATTTCTGTTGCTTTCATTAACTTTTATTGTGAAGAAAAAATTTTGCAATTTTCTAGGCGGCAGGAATTATTTTAAAATTTTCTGCAAGATTACAAATTAACATGTTTCTTCCATCTTTATAAGGAGACGTGTACGCATATTGTTTGGCTGAAGTAAAAGTATCAAATAACCTAAATGCTAATTACTCTCTTAAAAAACAAAAATTTTGTTTATTGAATCTATAAATTTAATTCACTATTTATTTCTTTGTAGGTCTTTACAAAATTTCTCACAGATATACTTTCTAATATTGTTGTATTCATTGGAATTTAATGCTCTTAATCAAATGATTTCAGCATTGCAGGAGGTGCACTATAATGCATACTAATATACAACTGTTAGTTATGTACCTTGTTCAATGAGTATTGTTAAATTAATGAGGAAAAATATCTTATAATATGGGTGGTAAAATTTTAGTAAATCTTTATATTTTATCTATTACAAGTTCTTCCGTGCCACGTGCTATTACTTTTACTTTAACTATGTAATTCTTCTAACAGAGAGCGCTATACAGCTAATCGCTGTCCCTTATATACTAATCTTACATGGACTAGAGAGGAGAGACTTACATGTGTGCGTCTCTCTCATGAACAGTAGTACACCAACACATGCTCTTGCGCTACAGCACATACATATAACCTTGCAATAGAAAATGTACACATCTCAACAAGTATTATAT